TAAGTCCCGGTACTGATCCCGGGATTGAACCAACGACATCCCAAAAATCCCGGGATCGTAAAAATCGAAAAAATTAACATCCCTAGTAGAAACATATTGTCGTTTAAAGTACAAAACCGCGTATATTCATTCTGCAAAACCGCGCAACTGACATTGGCTGCCAAAAATTTGATTTGTTCACCTCTTGGCTCAATCCTTATCCACTCGTCTTGAAATGTACTAGCCAGAAATGCGATTGCTTTATAAAAAAGAGAACCATTTTGAAATATGAGTGTTTTTACACTCTAGAAAATAATTTCTAAAACTTCACATACACGGTTTTGCATTTTGTTGTACGCGATTTGGCACTTGAAACGGCGATATGTAGGTACATGGGTACAAAATATGCGCGATCAGCTTATGCATATCTCCCATCACCTGCGCAATCTGTTTTTGGTATCCTTTTGTCTCTGCCAGCACCTAACTGTTTTTACACATGCACGTGTTTGCAAATTGATGACTAAGGGCCAAATTCACAGTGCGTAGTTAACTCGGAATCGACAGTTAACTAAAGTTTTTCAGTACAAAAATCTGTAGTTAACTGCCGATTCTGAGTTAACTACGCACCGTGAATTTGGCCCTAAGTGATTTTGTATGGAAAAGCATTTATGCTCATATATTTGAATAAAATAAACATACTTATCAACCAATACTTCCCATATGCCAAACGAAAGGAAAACACCTGAATTTTTGACTAAAGAAAACTTTAAACTAAAGCACTTTAAAGACTCAAAATTGACCCCAAAATAAGCCAATATTTACCGTTGTTTCTACGACAGACAACGAATCGGTTACTTACATAGATGTATTTGTCGATAGGTTTGGAATTTTGTCTTTGAATCGGCACACTTCTTTTTGAAATCGCTTCACTAGTTCTCGGGCAATAAACGTTTTCGTGAAGCTCTAAAAATTACAACTACAACATTTGGGCATAGCCTCCATATCGAAACGTAAGACGTATTCTACGTCAAAAAAAGGTTCGAGAATATGAGAACGTGTTGGAATGCTGCTTTTTTGTACAAATCGCATGACAATTATAACAATTTATGCAGTTTTGTTAATATTATGCGAGAATGCTTCCCAGCAAGTCCCGGATCCTGGAATACCTCAATTTTAGCATTTTCTGGAGCTAAAAGCAGCCATAATTATGGCTTGAAATTAAGCTTTTGCTTCATAACATTCTAAAGTGTCATTTAAAAGAAACCTTAAGAAAAAATATTTCAAACAACAAGATCTATAAACCCTAATGTTGCTTATAGGCAACATCG